TCATTTGTTATATTTTTCTCTTTATCCAATAAATTATTAATTTTTTTTAAAAAAAAGAAGAAGAAAAGTTCATTTCTTTATTTGGGAAAAAAAGTAAAATTTATCACTTAATTTAAAAATATAAAAATTTTATAGTTTTAAATAAAAAAATGAAATTTATAACTTTATCTTCACCTTCCCTCCTTCACTTGTAGATTAATGGATTTTAAATTTTTTACTAAGGCTTAGAGACAAAAGTAAAAATGAGGACAGTTTAATACTTCAAATATTAGAATTGTATGTTAAATTGTTTAAATATTTTTAGTCAAAATTTTTTATATATTGATTCATTAAGAATATATACATTTATTTTTTTTTAATATTTTAACTATCAAAACGTCTAAAATTTTCTCAATTTCCTAACTAATTTCCTCCCTTTTTTTTAAACATAAAATTTATTTTTTCATTAATTTATGAAATACAAGTTTTGTAGTTAACTCATACAGACTACAATTTTTATAACTACTAATAAAAGAAAAATCACCTCAATAGTAACAAACTTAGTCTTTATTTTTTTTTTTGGTACATACAAACTTAGTCTTTATAAATTGTTATAAATTGCATCATTTTTATAAGAAAAATTACATATTATTTTATTTATTTATTTTGGGTAGCTTTTGAGTTTTTCCTTCTGTTCTTTAATTATAAATTTTGCGCATGCTAATTAGGATTCGATCATACCTTTGTTCAAGTCATCATTGGATGAAGTATACAAGTCAATTGAGGAATCTCAAGTAAAACAAAATACTTCACTACTACTCCTACTACCATTCTACCACCAAATTATTTCATGAAAAGTGGAAGAGCATAATGGAATGGGAACAATCAAATCAAATTATTGGACTTTACGTCCTCATCCGGGCCTCTAAACTCCTATTTATTTATTTATTTTTTGAACATATTTGTAAAGGGCGGGTGTCGAACCCAGTCCGAAAAAGGGGGAATACATCGGAGTGGCTATTGCCATTAGATCGCAAGGGTCAGGTGCCTAAACTCCTTTATTTTTATAGAGGACGTTAAATATATCTTAATGAATGTTAAGGACTTCAACTACTTAATTAAAATGAATGAAATTGTTTTAATTTTTTTTATTTGTATATTTTTTCCCCATCATCTCATTTCCTTCTATTAAAAAAAATCTAATTGTTGTTAAGTTTTATAATTTTGATTTTATTTAAATTTTTATAATTATTTATATTAATTTTTATGAAAAAATTAATATTATCCAACACATTTGCAAAAATATTATATTTAATATTGAGCTAAACTGACTCCCAAAAATGTATAATTTTTTTTTTTAACAATATTGTCATGGGACGGGTTAAAACTTGCTCAAAAGAGAAGGAGAGTATATCTCAAGCTGATCAAAGGTCATTTGACCCGAAGGACAAGTGTAAAAAATATATAGTTATTGACACTTTTATTTATTTTTCTGTATGCAGTAGAAAGGTAAAATGTAAGTGCCTTTTGGTAAATGTTTTCAATCTATTTTTCCCTCAAAAGAACATTACACAGAACTAATCTCAAGCGAAAACAAGATGATGAAATTGATGTGATGATATGGATCTTCTTTAGTTCCTTCACTATCTCTTGGCTTAACAGAGTAAGATGGGGGATGCAATTTTCTTGACTTGTACAATAAAAAACCAACACATCAATTAGTTTACCTTACACGTAATCTAATAATTGAGTAGTAGAATTTAAGAAGGGCGGCACAGGTGGTCGGTAACTGGCTTGGACAAGCAATGCAGTAGAAAGGAAAGGGTGAAAACGACAGAGGAGGTGGCAGGAAAGGAAGTTAGAAGAAGTTAGACGGTGGTGCGGTGCCGTGAAAGGGATGCATCCCCATTCCTCACCACCATTTTGCCCAATGGACCATTCAGGGACGGAGCCAATGAAGGACAAAGGGAGGCAGCCGCCCCCCTAAACTTTTGAGAAACATTTAATATGGTACTTTAATTTTTATTTGTTAAAAATTTTGTTTTTATAGTATGAATTTTAAAGATCATTTCAAATATAGAGAAAATATTTAGGATCTAAATAAAAAGTTTT